CCACAGTGCCTGCTCTGACACCTTTCTCAATGACCTGGTGATATATTTTGCATTAGGACTGCTGGGTGCTGGACCCCTTGCCGGTATCCTTTACTCTTACTGTAAGATAGGTTCCTCCATACATAAAATCTCTTCAGCTAGAGGAAAGTATAAAGCTTTTTCCACCTGTGCATCTCACCTCTCAGTTGTCTCCTTATTTTATTGTACATGCCTAGGAGTGTACCTTAGTTCTGCTGCTACACACAACTCACTGTCAAGTGCTACAGCCTCAGTGATGTATACTGTGGTCACACCCATGCTGAACCCCTTCATCTACAGTCTGAGGAACAAGGACATAAAGAGGGCTCTCAAAAGATTCATTGGAAGGGAAACTAGAAAAGGACAAATTACACCATGACTGAAGAAGTTCCCCTGAATGCAGGGATCAAAGCGTCAGAGAGAAAAATTGTGATTCTTTGATAAGATTGTGAGGTACAGCTTGCTCATTCTGTTTATTTCATGAAATTTATCTTTCTTTAATTTCAGTTTCTGTATATAATTTATCAAACACTTTTATAAGCATTTTGCTCTCTAATACCTTAAAAGTTTCCCCTTGTCATCTTTTTACCTCCCCAAATTTATTCGCATTCTTGTGTCAGAAATATTTAGAATCCATTTACTTTATTGGAAAACATGGAATTCTTAAGAATAATTTCTGCACAAATTACGAATATCCTGCCATGTAATTTTTTCTTTTGTGTTTCTAAAACAATAGTCAAGAGATGTATTACTACGTTGGGGGGTGGGAACAACTAAAAAAAGTCCCAAGCAAATGAACTATAACAACAAAACTCCAGTTGGCACTAATGTTTTTAATACAATGTTGTCGGAGAGGAAAATCTGAGACCACAGTTTTTCACTTCTATGTTTGTTATTGCTTTGTATCTCAATATCTAAAAATGCAGATTGTAATGTACTAGAATGTTTTATAACTGTAATTGGGTTTCATTCTGCTTTTTAGTATCCTGTTTTCACACTCAGCTCAGTGACCACANAAAAATTGTAACATTTCTACAATGTGAGTGATGCCTATTTGCTGGAAAAGTAGTCATGTTGATTTTATTTTTCATGGCAGTCCCCTCCACTGCATAGATCCAGGAAATGATACACAAATTTCAGAATTTCTTCTTATGGGATTTTCAGAGACATCGGATTTGCAGCCCTTCATATTCTGGCTGTTCCTCTCCATGTACCTGATCACTTTGTTTGGAAACCTGCTCATCATCACGGCCATCATCTCAGATTCCCACCTCCACACTCCCATGTACTTCTTCCTCTCCAACCTGTCCTTTGTAGACATCTGTTTCACCTCCACCACCATCCCAAAGATGCTGCTGAACATCCAGACACACAGCAAGATCATATCCTATGAAGGATGCATCACTCAAATACACTTTTTTCTACTCTTTGTAGGATTGGATGACTTTCTCCTGACCATCATGGCCTATGACCGATTTATGGCCATCTGTCACCCCCTGCACTATACGGTAATCATGAACTCCTGGAACTGTGGGCTGCTGGTTCTGGTTTCCTGGATCATAGGTGTTCTAAATTCCTTGTCACAAAGCTTAATGGTGTTGGGGCTATCATTTGGGACAGTCTTGGAAATACACCACTTTTTCTGTGAACTTAATCAGGTGGTCCACAGTGCCTGTTCTGACACCTTTCTCAATGACCTGGTGATATATTTTGCATTAGGACTGCTGGGTGCTGGACCCCTTGCCGGTATCCTTTACTCTTACTGTAAGATAGTTTCCTCCATACATAAAATCTCTTCAGCTAGAGGAAAGTATAAAGCATTTTCTACCTGTGCATCTCACCTCTCAGTTGTCTCCTTATTTTATTGTACAAGCCTAGGAGTGTACCTTAGTTCTGCTGCTACACACAACTCACTGTCAAGTGCCACAGCGTCAGTGATGTACACTGTGGTCACACCCATGCTGAACCCCTTCATCTACAGTCTGAGGAATAAGGACATAAAGAGGGCTCTCAAAAGATTCTTTGGGAGGCAAACTAGAAAAGGACCGATTACACTATGACTGAAGATGATTGCAGGGATCAAAGTATCAGAGAGAAAAATTGTGATTCTTTGATAAGATTGTGAGGTACAGCTTGCTCATTCCATTTATTTCCTGAAATTTATCTTTCTTTAATTTCAGTTTCTGTATATAATTTGTCAGACAATTTTATAAGCATTTTGCTCTCTAATATCCTAAAAGTTTCCCCTTGTCATCTTCCTACCTCTCCAAATTTATTCACATTCTTGTGTCAGAAATATTTAGAATCCATTTACTTTATTGGAAAACATGGAATTCTTAAGAATAATTTCTGCACAAATTACAAATATCCTGCCATGTAATTTTTCTTTTGTGTTACTAAAACAATAGTCAAGAGATGTATTACTATGTTGGGGGGTGGGAACAACTAAAAAAAGTCCCAAGCAAATGAAAAATAACCACAAAACTCCAGTTGGCACTAATGTTTTTAATACAATGTTGTCGGAGAGGAAAATCTGAGACCACAGTTTTCACTGCTATGTTTGTTATTGCTTTGAATCTCAATATCTAAAAATGCAGATTGTAATGTACTAGAATGTTTTATAATTGTAATTGGGTTTCATTCTGCTTTTTAGTATCCTGTTTTCACACTCAGCTCAGTGACCACA